GCCACCGGGTGGCGCGGCCGCGCCTGAGAGAGCCCCTGCGCGCGCACAAGAGCGCGCGCGGTCGGGGAAAGAGTCGAAGCGGATGCACTCGCGGCAGACCAGGAGAGCCGATTAGCAGGCCATGGCCGCACGAATCTGCAGTCATGGCATCCTTGCAAAGGCCCCCCATGAGGACCATGACATGCCCATGGAGCACGAAACGCTGAGAACACATTGACGGGGTCACCCTTACGCCCCAGGGGAAAGTGCCAAGCGGGGGACAATGGGTTGAGGCGGGTTGTGCCGGAGGCTGGAGGATGCTGTCTGGCAGGCCAAGCAAAGCGCCGTCGCCTGGCCCCATCGCTCCACGATGGCCGCCCAGACGCTGGGGCGCGCAACTTTTGCCTGGGCGCCCGCGGAGCAAGACGCCCACCCCGACATGCACAGGGTGTGGGAGCCGCGACAACCGGCCTTGGTCTGCGTGCGCTTGGATTTGCGTCTGGCGCTGGCTCGGCGCGTCTTTCGGAGCCACTCCTTCCTGCTTGCGCTCCCAGCCGCTTGCGCCTGCGGCAACGACGCCCTTCTCCTGGCGATGCTGGCGTGGCCCCTTTTCCGTGCGCGTGGAGCGCCGGACCGGTAGGCCACGGTGGACTCGCGGATGTCGCTCTGCGTGAGCTTCTGCTCCTGCGCAAGCACGAGAGGGTCCAGGGCAAAGCACATCTTGGGGCACTGACGCACCATGTTCAGCAGCGCGTTGTCCGCAGGGAAGCCTTTGCGAAGGTATTCACAATAAATCTCCGCCCCCGCCTGCGAGATCACGAACGCATGGCTCTGGTAAGCCTGCCGGGCGTAGCACAAACCAGCCGGCCCTCCGCGCGCCTTGCGCAAGGGCCCAGACCACGGAGTGGTAGAGCAGCCAAGGTACAGGATCAGCCAATCCTTGTGGTCCTTTTGGATGCAACGGAGAGCCTGCGCAATCATCGCGCAGGCCTCCTTGGCATCGATTGCCAGGCGGATGTCGTCTTCCAAGACGATGAGGGCAGGAGCCTCTTGGAGCTGCGCCAAAGCACGCTCGTGGCTCATCAGACAGCCCAAGGTCCCCCAATGCGTGCCCCAATTCGACTTGGCATTTCGCACATACCGAATACGGCGCGTCTTGTGTGCGGCGTCGAACCAGGAGCAAAGCACCCGGCCGCCCGGCCCGCCCTGGCAACGCTTAGCATACCCACTCCGTGCCTTGAGGGAATCCCCATCGGTTCCCGCCAACCACGTCGGCTCGATGCCCAGACCGGCTGCCACCTGGAAGGCAACGTCGCGCTTGTCTTCTCGACGCCGTAGGCTAATCAAACAAGAGGGCAGCGCTCGGAAGGTCGCGGATGCCATGGGACCGGATGGCTGGCAGAAGGCAGCGCGATCGAAAGGAAACGCTTGAGCCAAGGTCCCTGTGAAAAAAACGTGGTTGGGTTGGGAATGGCGCGACGACATAAAGGTGTAGGCGGAGGGCATAATGGAAAACCCACAAAGGACTCAAAGCGAATGCTATGGATCGCAATGGAATGCAATGTATCGCAAAGCGAAGTCAAGAAGGCAGAACAATGCAAGGCAGTGCAATGGAAACTTGGAAGGAGCTGCGCTGCATTGCACAACAATGGAATGCATGACAACGCAAGGCATGACAACGCATGCCACACCTGAAAGACACAGAGTGCAAGGCCACAAAGGCTGGAGAAAGATCCCCTGGAACCCATTCCCGGGATTACAGCTGCCGCCGAGTCTCCTGCACAGGAGACGGGAGGTGAGGAGCAAGGAGGAAGGAGGAGGGAAGGAAGGAGGGGCAGGGAGGAGGGAGGAAGAGGACGTCGTCGTCGTCGTCGTCGTCGTCGACGTGATGGTCTCCGTGGCCGCAGTCGTCGCCGTCGGAATCGTAGTCCGCCGTCGCTGCCATCATCACCGTCGACATTGCCATGGCCATTCTGAGCCTGAGAGCCACCGCGCGAAAATGCACGTCAATATCCAAGTGCATGCCTGCACGGCGTGGGCGTCTGAGCATGCTCCTGTGGCCCATGTGAAAGGATGGGGGAAGTGCTGTAGGGCCGCCCGCCCTGGGCCCAAGGACACCTTCAAAACCGCCCACACGCGCGAACAGGGCGGCCACAGAGCCCGTAAGACGGCCACGGCTCCCGTTCTTCATTTTCTCCCGCTCCTCCTCGTCCTCCTCCATCCTCTCCCCTTAGAAAGAAATCCTCCCTGGCGCACCACGGAACGTGTGTGTAGAGGGGGGGAGGCAGGCGTTTCGCCAGAGACTCCCTTGCCATGTACGATCGCCATGTATGATCCTGAAGTGTACTATTGTGCAACATTTACACGATGGAGGGCGGTTTGTGTTCACAATGCGGCTCTCGCCTTAGCGCCGCGTGCAATCGTCTTGAAGTCTGTTACACGGGTGGAGGGAGGTTCCTTTCCAAAATGGGGCTCTCGCCTGATGGCCGCGGACAATCGTCGTGAACGTCTGTCGCAGTGCAGGGATGGAGGGAGGTTACTTTTCAACATGGGGCTCTCGCGTGCTCGCCGCGGACATTGAGGCACCAGGAGAGCGCCGGAGAGGCACCGGAGCCGCCGGGTGAGCGCCGGTGGCGCGCCGGCCGAGAGCCGGGACAGCGCCAGACCGCCGAGGAAACGCCGACCGGGAAAGCGCCGGAGGCGGGAGGGCGCCGGCCGGAAGAACCCGAGGCGGAAGTCGGGAGGACCGGCGGGATCGCACCTGGCAGGAGGTGGGTCTGAGATCAGCCAGTAGCGAAATCGACCGACTCGGAGTTCAGGCAAGTCCGAAATGAGCCGGGTCCGAGTGCAGCCAGAGAGGACGGGCGCGCCGGGAACGCCCAGGCGAGACCAGGTCCGAGGTCAGCTGGGTCCGAGACGGCGGGATGGCGGTCAGACGGCGGCGGCCAGGGGAGCGCCGGCGTGGAGCCGGGCCAGGAGCACCCCCAGCCAGAGGCGGGGGGGAGCGCCGGGCGGGAAAACCCCAGCCGGAAGCTGGGAGGAGCGCCGGAAGCAGGCCGAGTCCGAGATCAGCCGGGTCCGAGATCAGCCGGGTCCGAGTTCAGCCGGGTCCGAGATCAGCCGGGTCCGAGATCAGCCGGGTCCGAGAGACGCCGAGGAGACGCTGGCCGGGGGAGCGCCGGCCCGTGGAGCCGGGCCGGGAGCACCCCGGCCAGAGGCCGGGAGGAACGGCGGGCGGGAGAACCCCAGCCAGAAGCCGGCAGGAGCGCCGGAGGCAGGCCGGGTCCGAGATCAGCCGGGTCCGAGATCAGCCGGGTCCGACTTCAGCCGGGTCAGAGATCAGCCGGGTCCGAGTTCAGCCGGGGGGGCGCCGGCCGGGGGAGCGCCGGCCAGGAGCCGGGCCTGGAGCACCCCCAGCCAGAGGCCGGGAGGAGCGCCGGGCGGGGGAACCCCAGCCGGAAGCCGGGAGGAGCGCCGGAGGCAGGCCGAGTCCGAGATCAGCCGGGTCCGAGATCAGCCGGGTCCGAGTTCGGCCGGGTCCGAGATCAGCCGGGTCCGAGACGGCGGGATGGCGGGGAGACGCCGGCGGCCAGGGGAGCGCCGGCGTGGAGCCGGGCGGGGAGCACCCCCAGCCAGAGGCCGGGGGGAGCGCCGGGCGGGAGAACCCCAGCCGGAAGCTGGGAGGAGCGCCGGAGGCAAGCCGGGTCCGAGATCAGCCTGGTCCGAGATCAGCCGGGTCCGAGTTCAGCCGGATCCGAGATCAGCCGGGTCCGAGATCAGCCGGGTCCGAGTTCTGCCGGGTCGGAGACGCCGAGGAGACGCCGGCCGGGGGAGCGCCGGCTTGTGGAGCCGGGCCCGGGAGCACCCCGGCCAGAGGCCCCAGAGGCCGGGAAGAGCGGCGGGCGGGAGAACCCCAGGCAGAAGCCAAGAGGAGCGCCGGAGGCAGGCCGGGTCCGAGATCAGCCGGGTCCGAGATCAGCCGGGTCCGAGTTCAGCCGGGTCCGAGTTCAGCCGGGTCGGAGACGCCGGGAAGACGCCGCCCGGGGGAGCGCCGGCCTGTGGAGCCGGGCCAGGAGCACCCTGGCCAGAGGCCGGGCCGGGAGCAGCCCGGCCAGAGGCCGGGAGGAGCGCTGGGCGGGAAAACCCCAGCCGGAAGCCGGGAGGAGCGCCGGAGGCAGGCCGGGTCCGAGATCAGCCGGGTCCGAGATCAGCCGGGTCCGAGTTCAGCCGGGTCCGAGATCAGCCGGGTCCGAGATCAGCCGGGTCCGAGATCAGCCGGGTCCGATTTCAGCCGGGTCCGAGTTCAGCGGGTCCGAGAGCAGCCGGGTCCGAGATCAGCCGGGTCCGAGTTCAGCTGGGTCCGAGTTCAGCCGGGTCCGAGTTCAGCTTCTTCCCAGGGGCCCCCCACGGGCTCCGGGACTGTCAGAAAACGTCCCAGGGTGAAGAATTGGTACTGGGGGAGAAGGCCCCAGGGTCCAGGACCCGTTTCCCTCAGCACCCGTCGCCCCCATGGTAAGCCAGGAAATTCTGACCTTGAAGCATCTTTGGAGCATCTTGGACCACCCTGACAGAAACAAGAACGCACGAAGCCAGAAATGCACGGGGAATGTCCGAGCGATGGCACGTCGACCCTGAGCGGGGTGATGCGTCCCCGGGAGCGGCTCCGGGAAGACGGCAAGGCCCTCGATCCACGTGCCAGTCATCCTTCTTCCTCCTGTTCCGGGCCCGCCTCCCCCCGAGTTCCAGCCCTTCCCACTGCGAGTAGCAGGCCATACCCACAGGGGTTTAGCATTACAAGCGACTCCACCGTGGCTGGCCCAAAATCCTAAGTCAGGCCAGCGAGGCCCGCTAGGGGCCTGCACGGAACTCCCCCTCCCAGGTGCAAGGCGTTGATCGCAATTGGAGATTGGGCATTCTCATCATCACTCCTTTCTCTCTCTTGCCTCCCTGGGGTCCGAGCGCGCACCCAGCGCAGCCGTGCGTCGCATCAACCTGTCTCCTTGCCTTCCCCCCCACCCCAGGTCCACCCTGCTGATCTCTCTTTACGCGGCCGAGTATTTCCAGGGCCACGAGGATCGGGGGGGGGAAGGACACGAGGGGGGAGGTCAGCAAGGGGTGGGTCAGCGAATCGGCTCCGTGTGACTGGCTCCGTCTTCTTATGATGCCTATTTGTTTGTTCTGGTGGTTACTGCCACCACAGGCTGTAGAGTTGTTAGTGCTATTCCTTCGTTTGTACTTACTGTTGGGGTTGGGATTGCTATTCCTATTTATCTTGTCTCCGACCCGAGAGGAGAGGCGAGCCCTCTACGAGGTGGCCCTGCCGTGTTGGGGCGCCCCGCTCGGGCGCGCGGCCCCGCGCGCGCAAAGTCTGCAGGGGCGCAGCGCGGGAACCCCGACGGGGCGGGGCCACGCCTGGCGGCAAAGGCGGGGACGGCGTCCGAGCGGCCGCCGATGGGGGGCCACGTCAGGCGGCTGTTTTGCATCCGGTAGTTCCGTCACCGTGCCAGCGCAGCATTCTGGGCGGCGCTTGCTCGAGAAGGCAGCGGGGCTTGCACGGGGCCTCTTGGGACAGAAGGCTCGGATTCGTGGTTCGTGTTCCCACTCGTGGCAACGATAGGCGGTTCTTGTTTGGTCTGGTTCTGGCAAGTTAGCATGCATGGCGCGTGAGGACGGGCTGGCCCTCGGGTAGGGGTTCAAAGCTCTGGGGAGCCACGCCGTGGCAAAGGCTATGACGTCGGCTGGTCTAGGGTGATGCGATGCGAAGATCACCCCCCCTCTGCGAGGCTCGCAGAGGGGGGTGATCAGCAGGAAGCCCCCACATTCCACATCCGCCGCTCCCCAGGAGCCCTGGGCAGGACTCCCCAGGAAGCTGTGGACGTGGATGTTTCCCGGCGGCGCACCGCGGGAGGGCCCTCACCCATTCCTCACTCTTCTTGAACAGGCAGCCGAAGCCTTTTTTGTGTAGATTCTGGACAGTCTACTTGCATGGCATTTTCCTTCCCCCCTTCCCGCTCCCTCGCCATTTCTAGCAGCGCTGGGCCGAGAAGGCGTGCAAGCGAGTCCCGGCTTGCGTTAAGTTCGAATTGTTTTTTGGGGCCTCGCCACGCAACCCCGTTTGATTGAGGTTTCAGGTTTTCGGCTGTGTTCGTGGGCTCTCTGCGGTGCGGCATCGGGGTGCCTTCCAGCAACTGCGCCTCGCCGGGAGCATTCTGGGGGTGCCGAGATCGTCCCGAACGGCCACCGGAGGCCCAAGTTCTGGCTCGGAAGCAAGATCAGGGGCGCCGACGGGGGAGGGGGGGGGTCAGCCCAGGGGAGGGAACGCATCGATCTCCCATCGTCCGCTCGTTGCCAATCAGGTGGGCCTTATCTGTCTCGGCCAGCCCAGGAGCATGCGGGCGCGCTATTGGGAGACCGTCGCGGCTCTGTCGGCGACGTATCGCCGATTCCAGGTCGATGTGTCCCTCGTTCGCCATTCCCCCTCCCTCTATCGTCCCCCCTCAGCCGAAAGAGCCCCGTAGGCGCCTCTCGCGCCTGATGTAGGTCGGCAATGAAGAAATATCCATGAGGGGGGATCACGCAGCAACGCCCTCCAGAGCGATGGTTGATCATTGGGGTCTGGGCCTGTTCGTGGGCGTCGCCGTCGTCACTGAAATAATTGGATCGTCATCCCAATCAACTCCCTCAGCGGCTGAATGTTATCTATTCATCTGAACGTTCCTTATCGTATCTTCCAGAACGTCTTCCTGCACTACCCTCAGGCCACCCAGGACCCCAAGACAAAGACATGTGAGACATGCTGTCGCTAAGTGACGCTCGTGCCCGATAAGAGAAGCATGAGCCGTTGGATTCAATGCGACGGTAGCCTAGTTCGGGGATCCCGCCGTATTCGGGCGCGTCGGCCAGTTCGTCCTATTATATCTCCAAGAGGCCAGAAAGCCGGACATCAGTTGGGCTTCCCTGAGTAAAGGCTTTGGAGTCGAGAGATCCAGGAGTTGGCTTCACGCGCCCAGGCGAGAGGCCAGCGGAAAGACAAAGCGGGGGCGGCTCCGTTGGCGGACTGTCGGCGGATGCGACATGTGATCAGACGGGCGCCCCCACAATGACGACGACGACGACGTCGACGAGCACATTCAATATGAGCTTTGGCCCAACGTGTCGCGCCGCTGTTTCTTGCCCTGCACGCTTCGGAGCGACACGCCATTCACGGCACAGTCCCCGAGCGTCGACGTCCCAAGCCTTTCCGAGCATTCCGTCCCGCGGGGCCGAGCGACACGCTATTCTTGGGTGCGCGGGTCCAAGTCCCGAACAGGGCGTGATTGTTGTTCACATTTAGTTTTTCCAGCTTCTCCCAGGGACTGACCTTTGAACATATATGTTTTACACCTGCTCCATCTTTTCCGAAAAACCTTTCGTTGAGAAAGCGCAGTGTGTTCCAGCTGTCCAAAATTCCCAGAGACAGACTGTTCTTCTGTTTGAGAGGCTACGCAGCACGGTAGTGTTTGGAAAATTTCGAACAGTTGGAACAGTTGGAGCACATATCGCTTTTGAGCGGCCACGATTTGGGAACAATTCGAAAAGTTTGACAGCACAGCATTGTCAACGGTCCGTCTCTGGCAAAAGCTGGAACATGCCACTCTTTCTTCAAAGGCTAGTTTCTGAAACAGTTGGAAAAGTGGGGAACAACTAAAGACATAGTTTTGTTCAACGGTCACTCTCTGGGAACAAATGACAAGTTGGGAAAGCTGAAAACGCACAGCGTTTGTCAAAGGATACGTTTTGTGAAAAGATGGAACAGCTGGCAATTACAACTTCGTTCAACAGTCGGCCTCTGGGCAATTTTGAGACAGCTGGAAAATGCAGGGTTTTTCAAAGGGTTGGAGAGGCTGGACAGGCTGGACAACAAATCGCTGTTCCACGGTCGGTCTCTGGGAAAGCTGGAAAAGTTGGAAACGCAACGGTTGTTCAATTATCAGTTTTTCGGAAAATGTGGGAAAGCCGGAACATATTTTATTTGCCAGCGATCAGTTTCTGGGAAAATTTGCAAAAGCTGGATGCAATATAAAAACAGTATTTTTCAACGATCAGTCTTTAGGAAGAGTTGGAGAGGGTGGAGAAGCTTGAAAACACAGCGTTTTCAACGGTCGGTGTGTGGGAGCAGTCGAGGAAAAGGAGGAATATGTATGATGGCAGGGGGTGACCATATAAATAGATCGGAGGTGAGGGGGTGAGATCGAAGTGGAACGGAGAGCCCCCCTACCGGGATATCGGTTTCGGTTTCGTGTTCGTGCGTGCCGTGCGTGCGGGCGAGGCGAAGCTGCGTGGGCGGGCGAGAAATAAGTCTCCTGTAGCTGAGGCGCGGCCGGACCAAAAGTCTCCCTTCCGGCAACCGGTGCCTCGCGGTGTCCCGCCGGTGTCCCGCAAGGGGGCCCGTGGCGCGCGGTGTCCCGACGGTGTCCCGCCGGTGTCCCGTCGGTGTCCCAATGACGATGATGATGATGATGATGATGATGATGATGACGATGTTGATTATGTTGACGATGATGATGCTGATGGTAATGGTGGTGATGATGATGGTGTCCCGACGATGATGCTGATGATGATGACGATGTTGATGATGACGATGATGGTGATGGTGGTGATGATGATGGTGCCCCGATGATGATGATGATGATGATGATGATGATGATGATGATGATGTTGGTGATGATGATGTAGCTGATGATGATGCTGGTGCCCCGATGATGACGATGATGTAGATGACCCTGATGGTGTTGTTGGTAATCAGATGATTTGATGATGATGATGAAGATGATGATGCTGGTGTCCCTCCCGATGATGATGATGAGGTTAATGATGATGCTGTTGGTGATAATGGTGATGATGATGATGATGGTGTCCCGATGATGGTGATACTGATTGTGATGATGATGACGCTGATGGTGTCCCGATGATGATGATGATGGTGTTGATGATGACGATGATGATGGTGGTGATGATGATGATTTTGATGATGGTGGTCCAGTGATGGTGATGATGATGCAGATGTTGATGTTGATGATGGTGTCCCGATGATGTTGGTGATGAGCGATGATGGTGATGATGATGATTGTGACGATGATGATGGAGTTCCGATGATGATGATGCGGCTGATGACGTTGATGGTGATGATGGTGTTATTGATGATGATGGTGTCCCGATTATGATGATGTTGATGATGTTGTTCTTGATCATGATAATGGGATGATGATGATGCTGATGGTGGTGTTCCTATGCTGCGATAATAGTGTCCCGATGATGATGATGATGATGATGATGATGTTGATGATGTTGATGGTGACGATGATTGTGTCCCGATGATGATGTTGATGATGGTGTTGATGATGATGTTGATGATGATGGTGATGATGTGACGATGATGATGGTGTCCCGATGATGATCACGATGATGATGTTGATGATGAAGTTGATGACGATGATGTTGATGATGAGGATGACATTGATTGTGATATCGATTGTGATATCGATAGTGGGATCGATAGTTATACCGAATGTGAGATCGATTGTGAGATCGATTGTGCGATCGATCGAATGAGATCGATCGAGCGAGACCGATAGTGAGATCGATTGTGAGATCGATAGTGAGACCGATAGAGTGAGACGTTGGTTCCTCCCCCCCCGAACCTCCTTATCACCCGAAGGGTGGTCGTATAGGTGTATATGTATATATATACATATAGAGGCACATACATACATACACACAGACATGCGCATGTGATCCAGCGTGAACCCCAGGCAGTCCATTATCGCGCTATGGATGTGTCAGCAATGTGATCAAAAACTACGTGGTGTAATCTATGTGGTGCAGCATACGTGGTGCAAGGTACAGGCTCAACGAAGCGGCAACGGTCGGCAACGTGGCGAAGCACCCAGCGCACAAGGAGGCATCAATGTGACAAGTGCGAGGCTGGACGGAGGCTTGTTTTCGCGAACAATGTTTCGACTGTGCGCCAGTCTCGGGCCACCACGGGCCTGACCAGCACGCCTTTGCTACGTTTGCATTGGGCTTGCCCACGGGTGGGCGTGCAAGCCGAGGGTGCTCAGCCACCGGCGCCCCGCCGCATCATAACATCGAATTGAAATGTCTTTCCGAGTTGGTCCGGATGTCATCCGTGGAAGTGTCGTGTGCCTTCGAAATTCAGCTTCTGGACGGCATGACCGCGCCGATGTGCTGTCGATTTGTTTCGACCTGCGTATAGGTCAGCGTCGATCAGCGTCGATCTGCAAAAGCCAACATCATGGTTTCGCAGCCCCCCGTGAATTGCCGCATAAGCATGGCCGAGGTGGTAATCTCGCGAAGGAAAGTCAAGGCGCAGTTTATAATCGACGCCCTCTTGTGTGCAGGCTCACGGCCCACCAGCCCTCCAAGTCGTCATCGTCGTCGTCGTCGTCGCCTCCGTCGTCCTCGTCCTCTTCCTTGTCGTTTTCCTCATCGTGGTCGCTTTGCCGTCGCCCCCAGCCACTGCACCGCCGAGGCCCCGGCGGCCTCGCGGACTTGGGCCTCACGCAGGATGGGGGCGGGGCCTCGGCCTGCCTGCCGAAGCAGATGGGGCAGGGCTTCGAAGAAAAATCGCAGAAGGATTACGTCAGAATCGCAAGAATTGATGTCCAGATTCCAAGCCCTCTTTGATTTCAATAATTGGTATGACTGTGCTGCTGTTTGTTACTCTCCGGCTGGGCCCGATCCCAATCTAATTATGTTAGCCGCTTTTTGTGTTTCATGCTTCTACTAATTCTCCCCACTGGCGGCCACGCAGGAATAATCGCAAGAAGTCTGGGCCTCGAAGAAGAATTCGGTCAGAAGGGATCGCAAGAGGCAAAAGGGATCACGCAGGGCAAGAAGTCTCACAATAGCTCGGAACTCGAAAAAGCATGTGGTCAGAAAGTCCAGGGCTTGTCGGGGAGTGGTTTCCCCATTCCCCACAAAACGACGAGAACCTTTCCGAATCCTTCCGAAGACCATCCCCGGCCACGCAGACCGCTCCTGCAGGGCATGAGGCGTGGTAAGGCCTCCAGCTGCGCACGGACAGCTCGCCCAGGTAGTCCGGGCTGACCTCAACATGCCCCCCAAGTCCCGCGGCGCCCCTTGGGGCGCCTCTGGGGCGCCTCTCGCGCCCCGGGGGGGGGGGACCGTCTCGGACTACTCGGGGAGCCTGTTGATGAGGTCAGCTTGGACTACTCGGGGGCAGGGGTGACGTGGACCTAAGCGGTGTTGTGCCGTTCTCGTTTCGATTTCGTTTTACCGCAATGGCGGACTGGAGACAAAACGAGGGAAAAACGAAAACCAAACGAACACGAGAAACATTGTTTCGGTCGAGCCCTGCTCGGGGGGCCTGTCGAGGCCAGCCCGGACTGCCTTTTCGAGGGCTGTCTGCGCGCAGCCCGAAGCCCCACCGAGGAGGCGCATGCATTGCGCAGGGCCAGGCCACGCACATCCGGCGCCGCTCCCTCACGCCGCCCCCGCGCGCCCCTGGCAGCGAAGGCGCCCTCACCGACGGCGCGGTGGCCGCACAGTCTTGGGATTCTAGCGCGGGTCCGAGAGCGCCCGGGGCGAGCAGGGCCTCCGAGGCCCCAAATTTACGGCGATGGGCTGTGCGGTGAGGTCTTTCGAAGGGATTCCGGGGTCACCGCACGGTCTGTCACCGCACCGTCTTCTGGACCCCCAAACAGAGAGGGGTCAAGCGAGGATCCAATGAGTCCGTCCAGATTTTCGGTTTGTTCATGTTTCTGCGCTGATCCTTCTTCTTCTAGGGCCGAGGGTTCGTTTTGGCGCCGCTCGCTCCGAGGCCACGGGACAGGGTCCACAATGTGACCTCGGCAGTTTGCATGTTATCCGCGGGCGACTTGCGTGCACCGTACCGCGTTGACGTCTCCCTAGGGGGTCGTTGGTTCTCTGCCCAGCAATTCTGCGGTGCATAGTTTTTTCCTGCTTTTTCAAAGCGAACAAACATATGCACAGTACCGCGTTGGAGCGAAGCCTCCAGGGAGTCCAAGCATAGTGCGGTGCACGGGCGCCGTTCTCGTATGTTAAGCAGGTCTTGTCTGGCCCATCTGTTCAGCTGGTCTCGTTGGAGGGGAATTGCTCATGAATTCAGGGATCCCGGACCAACGAGAACGACCCAACAGGCCAAAGGAAATTTGCTCAACATGTAGGCACTTGAGGTCACATGGTGGACTTGTCCCGCGGTCCTCAACCGCGCCGCAAATCAGGGGAATCCGCATCATCAGGCGACGAACTTCCGCCCCGAAGATTCAGCTCCCTTGCGGACTCAGCTCCTGGACCCCCCCGAGAGGGTTCAGGATGAACCTGGGACGCGGCACAGGCCCGAGGCGGCCCCAGCACGCCCCAAGGTGCCCCCCGAGGAGGCTCCCGGATGCCACCCAGAGTCCAAGAGCCCCTCCCCCCCAGGCGATGCCACGATGGCCCCAGAGGCCTCACAGACCCAATCAGCTGCAGAGCGGTGGCCCAAGCTTCGAAGACCAGCTGCGCTGTGGCGCAGGCGGCGTATGCTCGCGGTCCTCCAGGGGTTGCGACGGGGGTGCGGAGTGGTAGGGCACGGATCGAAGAAGGAAAGCGACAGAAACGTAAATTTTCTGAGGCCCGCGCATATTTCTTGCATCTGGATTGGGCCCTCATGGCGGCGCCTCTGGCGCCGCCCCTGGCGCGCTCCGCGCGAAAGGGAGTGGTACCCAGCGCCGATTAAAGAACTCCGCGCGGATAGCCGAGAAAGTATGGTTACGTTTTTTGTTCTTCCAGCAGAGTAAGCATGGATAACACATTTGTGTCGCACTCCTGGCGCCCAGAAGGCCTTCTCAGACCCCTGCCTGTCACACAGTGGCATGTGCCCCCGTATTGGGTAAGAGGTAACCGAGCTGTGTTACCGCGCGTCCAATTGGCATATCACATAGTAGATCGGTTCGCCAGCAGATGGCCCACATCATTTCTTGGGGTATGAGGCTTTGGGGCACCTTTTGACGTTCAAATATCGACGGAGCATGTACTCCAACATTTGTTACAAGTATGCGCGCTGTGTATGACTTTGATATTGACTTGTATTTTGCCCATAGGAGGCCAATGAACCAGGATGCTAATGTCTGACACCGACGCATGTTGGCCTCCCCGCAGGTATTGGTCGGCAGTACGTACCGTAGTAGATACAGCTCGCGTGCGCGGTCTCTCTTGTCTTTCGGGCTGTAGTCGCGCAGTGCCTCCCGTACCTTTCCAGTAACCCCTTCTGTGGGCGACCTTCCGGTTTATAACAGAGCCGTTACATGAGCTGCTCGAATGCGAAAGGCCTTCTGCGCGGCTGCTCTTGGCAAAAGTCGTGGCAGGATTCTGTGACGGTTGCCCAGGCCTGGTGGAAGCGTTGCCCAGCGCTGCGGTTTCTGCCAGGGGCAGGCTCACCAGGGTCACCACAGGTCACCACCTGTCGAAGAAGAATAAACGCCAAAAACCTAAACGTGTGGCGCTCCGCGCGGATTTCTTGGACCGCGCTGAGCCCCCCGGCGACGCCTCCGGCGCCGCCCCTGGCGCGCTCCGCGCGCGAAGGAGGGGGTCCAGCGCAGGTCCAAGAAGCCCGCGCGGACCGCCAACAGTTTGTGTTTATGGCGTTTTTTCTTCTTCTAGCATGGCCCCGCACCTTTTTTCGGCCGCGGTGCTCTGGTCCCGAGCCCCGCGCCCCAGCTTCCGTGCGGCAGGTGGCCTCCGTCCCGCGGCCCCACCGCAGGCCTCGCGCGTCGCCCTGAGACCCGCTATGAGTGAAACCTATGGGCCGCCAGCCTGCCACCGATTTCCCCTGCTCATTCAATCGTCGGGCTCTTGGGCCAGGGTGGCCTGGCACCCGATGCCTTGCTGCACGCAGTCCGTCGAAGAGGGCCAAGCGACATAAACATCAACTTTCCGCGCAGATGTTTTGGATCGGCGCTAGGGCCCCCTGGCGGCACCTCTTGTGCCGCCCCTGGCGCGCTCCGCGCTCCAGGGAGGGGAGTCCAGCGCAGATCCAGGACATCCGCGCGGTCCTCAGAAATCATGTCTGTTTATGTCGTCTTTGGTCCTCTAGTCCAGTCAGAGATGAGAGTCGCGAGGGGTACTTGATAGGGAGGGGGGCGGCATCGCACTCGGGACAGCGGTCCACGCAGAGGCAAGTTGCAAGAACAAGAAATTGAGCACCCGAGCGTAAGCGGTAGGTGGTAGGAGGCAGCATGCAACAGGTAATGCACAGGCCATTGCGACGCCACACCCAAACGCATGGATACCCGCCGTCTTCGTCATGTATTGCGAAGCTAGGTGGCATGTACACTGGCCCACCGAAGTGTAAGACGACGGGAGCATGCAACAATTATAATTTTCACAGCTGGAATCATGTTTGCACAGGCCTCCATCCCAAAGAGAGGAGTGACCTTGTCGCTAGAAGTGTGCTTTCGTCATGTAGCGCAGCGGTCGTCCTCCCCTCTCTAGTTATCTCATCCTCCCCTTCCTTCCCTCCCTTCTGAGCTTTATCCTCCATCCCCTCAGCTCCTTTCTGTTCGCCGTGCTATCCGCCACGTCTGGAGCGTCTCTACAGCCCCCTCCCCATTCCCCCTCTCCTCCTTGTAGGTCGTAGGGGCCCACCTGCGCTGAATTGGGGGGCATCTTGGGGCCACCTTGGGCGCTTTGGCGCCATCGCAGGGGCCTCTAGGAGGCGCTCCTGTCGCTGGAGCACGTCCCCCCTTGGATGCGGAAAAGGATAAGGAGAGTGAGGGAGGGATGGTGGTGAAAGTCATTGGACAAGAAAACATAGGTCGCGAGCGGAGATACACGCACAACGACGGCTACGACGACGAGGACGACGACAACAGCAACAACAACGACGACGATTACCCTGTGCTGTATGCGAAACTTCTCAGGCTGGACAATTTTCCAAGATCCTTGCTTCGGCGCGGATCGTTTATAAGGGAGGGAGAGGGAGGAAAAAGGCTGAGGGAAGGAGGGAGGAGGGACAGTCCTTGAAGAGGCTGTGTCCCCGCGGTGGCCTGCGGGGGACCTGGGACCAGAACCCCATCGACCTCAACGCCCATGGGTCCCCTGTGGTGATGGGGGTGGGGACCCACTCTGGTGCCCACGGGCTTCAGTTGGAGGGATATAGGAGATGCAGAGGGAGTGAGAGAGGAGGATGAGAAGGAGGGAGGGAAGGAGGGAGGAGGGAGGATGATGCGCATGGAATAAGGAGGAGGAAGCGTGCAGGAGGAGGGAGGAAGGGAGGGATAGAGGCAGGGAGGGAGGGGGGGAGGGGGGGGAGGGAGGGAGGAGGGAGGAGGAGGAGGAGGAGGAGCAGGAGGAGGAGGAGGAGGAGGAGGAGGAGGAGGAGGGTGGAAGAGGGAGGACGGAAGAGAAGGGGAAGTGGAGGAGGAGGAGGAGGGAGGGAGGGAGGCAGGGGGAGGAGAACGGCGACGCAGCCGAGCACGACGATGCCGCCGACGAAAGCGGCGCTGGCGGCGAGCGTGTGCCGCGGCACAGGGCGGCGCGCCCGTGACGCTGGTGCTGGCGGTGTCCCCTGGCAAGCGGTGCCTCCTCCCAGGGTCGGGGGCCCTTGGAGGCAGGGCATGTCGCCATTGTAAGGCGTTGGGCTACTCAAAGACAACCCCCCAGGTAGTCTGGGGCGGTGCCGACGCCCCATGGGTTGTTCCGCGCCCCGGTGTTGGGATGATGAGGCCGTTCAGGCAACGGATAACGGAAAGAGCGAGGTACGATTGATGACGCTTTGATGTGAGCGAAGCCCTAAAGGGAGGGTTTCCAGGGGAGGGGGGTAGGGCGGGGGAATGGTGTTAATAGCCGTTTTCGGGTTTTCCTTTGGGTTTTTGTATGTCTTTCGGGTTGTCCCCTTTTCCGTCCCAGAAGAGCCCAAGACAGCCCCAAGACGTCCCAAGAGGCTTCGCAGACGCCCCAGCCAAGAGGCGTCCCAAGAGGGCCCAAAGAGGCCAAAATCATTGATGTTCCTCAGGAAAACGTGCATTTTTAGCATATACGATTTTTGCGGTTTTCACGGCGTTGACGACGACCCAAGAGGCCCCCAAAACGCCCCAAGACGGCCCAAGAGGCTCCCAAGAGGCCCCCAAAACGGCCCAAGAGGGCCTCCTGACGGGCCCAAGAGGGCCCCAAGACGGCCCAAAGAGGGGGACCACGAACCGAGAAGTCTAGCTTTTCTCCCCAAGACGCTCCCAGGAGGCCCCAAGAGCCCCAGAAGAACCCCCAAGAGGCCCCCACGAGGCGTCCCAAGAGGCCCCCAGGAGGCCAAAATTATTGATTTCCGATGGGAAACATGGCATTCTTAGCTTACACGGCTTTTCGGCTTTCGCGGCGTTAGCGACGGTCCAAGAGGCCCCAAAGACCGCCCCAAGGCGGCCCACGGGGCTCCCAAGAGGCCCCCAAAACGGCCCAGGACGGGCGGCTTTCCGCTCATGTGGCACCAGAAGTATTTGGTGGGGAACCGTATCTTGCCGACGGACCGCCTGTCCTACGAGCTGCAGGCCATGTGTCGCTTGCTGGAGGCGGCAGAATGCTATGACTGGCTCAACTTGGCGTCGTTGGCGTTGTTCCAGGTGCTGGCCAGGCGGATGCGGGAAGCTTCGAGGATGAGGAGCTGTGGTCTGGCGACCAGCAGCGCGCGGCCGCGATCTCCCCGGACCGGACGGCGCACGTTGCCAGTCGCACGAAGGGAAGGCGGATATCAAGAATCAGCGCCCGAAGGCCCTCGACGTCCGCGCCTCGACAGTTCGTCCAAAGGGAACTGCGAAGGCAGGCGCCAAGGCTGGAGGCACGGACAAGGCCTAGGGGCCGAGCAGCGGCTGGCTGGGGCCCCGCCGCTGGCCGCATCATCCTCAGAGGGGTAGGCCCGGCGCGAGTTCTGCTTTTCCTCGAGGGCCTGTCTTTGCTGCGGCGATTGCCGTCGAGCTCTTCCCCCTGCCGAAGCTGGTGGAGAAGTGGCTCTGCCGCGCTGGGCGAAGCCGAGGAGTGCGGCAGCGAGTTGCTCGACGGAAAAACGCGACCATCCGCGCGAACAAGGCCATCAGCGCGCTGAACTGGCTGAGCGCGCGCGGGTCGGACGCGGCACTCTCGGCGGCCCCCTCGCTGGCGCAGTCCAAGGCCACCCAGCGCGTTAGGGGCGCCATGCTGGCTTCTCAAGCTGTCGTTGCGGTGCCTCGCCCGCGCGAAGCCGCACGCGCCGCGCGCTTCTGCGTTCCCAAGCCGGGTGCAACTCGAATGAGCACGCGGTTGTCGACTACCAGGAAGAACTCCTCTCGGTTCCGACGTCCTGCGTGGATGCCCTGGTGCGTCGCGCCGCCTGAGGCAGCCGATGCGCTGGTTGATTTCGAGAAGCACGCGGTCAGATCTGACTTCGAGCATTCGGAGGTGCTCGACAACGCGGAGCGCACCGCGCCTGACATGGACCGCAACTTGTCAGGTGATCGCGAGGCCTGCGTCCGTCTCGTCAAGCGCCTGGAGAGGTGGGAGCGTCGCGGTGGCGCACTTCGGCGAAGGAGCGCGCCGCCGTCTTTTGCGCATAGAAAATGCGTGGGAAGCAGAGGCTGGCGGTGGACGCCCGCCGCTGCAATCGTCGGCTTTGCGACCCGCGTGGGGTGGAACTGCCTACCGCCGAGCCCCTTGGCATGATCGAGGTCAATGACGATGCGGGGGTGTTCGTCGGCGCTTGGGGCGCGCGGGGCGCGTTCTACCGCTTCAAGATTACTTCGGCCTGCCCCCCCTCCGCGCGGAGGAGCTCGACCTTCGCGATGCCGAAGGTGAGCGGCTGACTGGGGACCGATGGGTGCGCCCGTGCTTCGCGGTGCCCCCGGCGGGCTTCAAGTGGCCGCGGTGCCTCGCGCAGGCTGCCGAGGTGGAGGCGGCCGCGGGCGCGCCAGCGTCTCGTCGTTTGCAGACTTTTGGCGGCTCGCGCTTGAACGCGGCTGGTGGCCAATTTTTGCACTGCGTCCACGCGGGCGCCCATGGTGGTCTTTCGTCTGAGGTGCAGGCGCAGCAGGACCGGGCCTGCGCGGCCCTGGGCGCAGTGGGGTTGGCAACGCATGAGCACGTTGATGTCTGCGAAGAAACTGAGGTGTTGGGTGTAAGCATCAAGGGTCACTCCAGGCTCGCTGCCACCTCGCTCGGCCGCATGTGGAAGCTCGACAGTGTGCTGGCACGGTCCGTGGCGCTGCGACGGGCCGCCAGCTCGAGTCGACGGTTGGCCATCTTACGTTCATCTTCACGTTTCGCTGGCCGCTGTCGTCTCTGTTGTCGGTCATTTAGTTTATTCGCACGGCTGGGCCAGAGACGCTCGACCTTTGGCCCTCTGTCCGTGACGAGCTCGGCGCGGCCCGTGCTCTGCTGCCGTTCGCCGTTGCCAAGTGGAGATTGCCCGGGCGCGGGCAAGTCGCGGCCACCGACGCCTGTCCGACTGGATGGGGAGCGGTCGAGGCGCAGCGGGGTGACGAAAAAGTAAACGAGGCTGGGCGCATCGATGAGAGGTTAAGGTTTCGCGTCAGTCAAGAAAATGATTATGGCGCCCGTGCACTCGCAAGCACCCGCCGCGCCCTGAGCGGCCCGATGACTATCTTGGCCCCCGAAAGGACCAACGAGCCTGACAAGTTTCGGGAGGGGGGCCCCGAGGCCCCCGACATCAGCCCCGAGCGGATCTACGAGGGCACTTGGAGGGCCGCGTGCGTTGGGCAGTTCTTTCGGAAGGAGGCCATCCACACCCTAGAGCTCGAGGGTATGATCTGGACCCTGAGGGGGCTCGCCGGGCGCCCTGGATTCGGGCGTCGACGTGTGTTATTTCTAGGAGATAGTATTGGGCAAGTTCTGGCTTCCGCTAAGGGAAGATCCTGTGCCTACAAACTAAACCTGCGCTGCCGACGGCGGCGCGCTCTGCGCCTGGCCCTCGATGTGCGTTGCCGCGCACGCTGGCTCCATTCTCGGCACCTGGCTGACGCCCCCCCCCCCCCCCCCGACGCTTCGAGCCTTTGTCGAAGCGACCTCGGGCGGGCGACGAGCCCGGCGCGGCCGCCGCAGGGGCTGGAGGGGGCCCCCCGGGCAGCCGCGTTGGTGGCGCTGACGACGGGCCACTGCGAGGAGAGGCGGCTGGTGGCGAACGGGCGCTCGGCGGTCGGGAAGGCGAGGGCGCCTCAGAGGCCGCGACGCCCGCCGAGGACGCTGCCGAGGTCGCCTCCCGGCCTGCCGCCAACGCCGCCACCGATGGCGAGGAGAGCGACGGCGAGCTTCTTGAGTCAGGATCGTTGCTCAGCGGAGGCCGGCACCATCGGCCGCTCGCTCCTCGAGGGCAAGGCCGCGTCCGATCGGGCCGGCCAGATCTACCAGGCGCTGTGCTAGCCGTTCGCGAGCGACTGCGGCAGGCTCGCTGGGCTCCCCGGAGGAGCTCGACTGCGCGCTGATCGAGATGTTCGGCGAGAAGTCCTTCGAGGGCTGGGGCAGCACCACAGGCCACCTCCTGCTCGCGCCCATCAAGGGGCTGTTCCCAGAGCGCGGTCGCTGCGGGCCCGCGAAGCTGCCGCGTGCCCACTGTGCCCTCCAGGGCTGGGGCCGCATGGCTCCTGGGCAGTCGCGCCTGCCCGAGGCGCGGCCTGCGTGAGCGGCGGTGATGGGCGAGCTGCTCCGGATGGGCTGCCGCGCGACGGCCATCGAGGTCATGGCGTCGCCGGTGAATTACGGGCGGTCTGGCGAGACGCACGACCTGAAAGCGAAGTGAGTCATCCCGCCAGCGACCAACGTCGGGCCTTCCTGGGCCATCGTGATCAGACCGTCCAGGGGGCTGCGCCCGACCAAGGTCGGCTTGCACGGCGGCGCCGTTCTCTGGGACATGGAGGAGGCCTGGGCCGCGCAGCTGCCGCGCGATCTCTCGCGAGGCAAGACAGGAGACGAGGCGGCGTTCAGCTGCGCATGCGCGACGTGCCTGAAGCAGTTCAAGACGGCGGCGGTGAAGCTCGGTCTGCCCGAGTGGGCGCCATGCCAACTCATGCGCAGCGGCGCCTCGTGGGACCGTCTCTGCCTGCGCCGCACCTCGGGCGAGATCCACGAAAGTGGGGAAGGTGGGGCAGCCGCGCGAGCGTCGCCAGATACGAAAAAGGAGGTCGCGCGCAGGCCCAGTTGCAGAGGCCCCGCGCCGGCTTCCAAGAGTGCTGCCTCTGGCGCAAGAAGAACCTTGAAGGGGTGCTCCTAGACGGAGGGCTGCCGCCTGCACCGCCTGCAGTGCCGCGGTCTGGAAATTTGAGGACATCTAAGCGGGCTGTGGAGGTGTCTCAAAAGAATTGGTGAGAATTGGGGGTGTTGCCACTGTGACTGATATTGCGCACGGGGCTGGGTTTGATCTGACGAGGCCTGAAAGTGCAGCAGCAGGCGTTCAATCGAATCCGCTCGAATGCGACCGCAGCGATGATCGCCCCAGCGTGCCAGGCGCTGAGTCGCGCACGCTGTGGCTGCACAGGCCCACTGCGATAAAATGAGCACCCGCGGGGCCTGCCAGGACTGTCGCCAGGAGACCAGGAGAAAGTGCGTCATGGCAACATCCTCGCTATTTTTGTCGTTGGATGTTTTGAGATTGTGCTTGTAAAAGCGTAGTCCATGTATACTTGAGAACCCTTCAACCTCCATGCTGTGGATTCTGCCTGAGGTGAAAGCGCTTTGTTTGAATCGCTCTAGTTTTTTTTGCGTCACTGCCTACTGCCAGTTTGGGAACCGGTGGAAAGAAGTGACCAACTTTATGATGTGCCCTGTGCCTAAGGAGGTTTCTTCTACATCACTCCATACAGATGCAAAGGGCACGGCGTCTGTTCGCGCTCAGGGCCCCCCCGCCTCGAGCTCTCGGGGAAGGCCTCCAATGGCAAGCTCTGGACTTTAATCGCACAGCCGTATCCGCGCCCTCTCGGTAGGAGCTCGGCTGAAGTGTGTCGAGCCTCTTTGAACGGCAAGGGTCAGCGTCTTCGTAGAGCATAAGATGGGCTCGGGGAATATAATAATTCCGGGAGTTGTTCTCAAGCTTTCTTGTCTGGCAGCGTGCGTTTTGGATCGGCCACTCTCCTCGGCGCGCCCTCCGCATCAGATAGAAGCGTCTTCATTGAGAAAAGAGCTCTCAGGGTTTGTTTTAGATTGTAATGAGAGCGAGTTGGAAAGGGCGCGTTGCAATGCTCATCGTTGCCCATTAGTGTTCAAAATGTCCTCACCCCTGTTGTGCCCCGCGCAACCCCAGCCCATGAGTTCACTGACCCTGCCGAAGTCCTTGGGGGTTGTTTTCAAGCCCTCGTGTCTGGCGGCGTGCGTCGTGGGTCGGCCACTTTTTTTGGCACGCTTTCCGCATAATATAAAAGCGCTTGCACGGAGAAAAGAGCTTTCACTACCATTATTTGTCTAGATATTCTTCTTCTTCTTCTTTCAATGCGCTCTTTTGGTGGCCACTCATTGACCACGCGCACGCCTCGGGCCATCATGTGCCAACCCCTCTGTTCCTGCTCCATTATTCGGCGCACCCGGCTAGGGGATGATGAATGTTTTTGTTGTCCAGGCCTACTCGTGGGCGGCGTCGTCGTTTGACCGTCCTCTCCAAAACCTTTTCTCCTTGCGGCCGAAGACACTATAACATTCTACATTGCCCCCTCTCCCCCTTTTTTGGTTTGTTACGATCGTCATCCTATTGTACCCCCTTTTTGGGAAAAAAGAAAAGAAATGTGGTTCGATGCTCGCCCAGATGCCAGAATCTGTGTTTTTTTTTTTTCCAACGCGCGGCCTCAGAGGCCCCCGCCCTTCTCTCGGCGGCGAGCGACGGGGGGAAGTGAGAAGGACAAGGCCTTCTCGAAAGGCGGCGGGACTTTTCAGAAACCCTCGCGCCTTAAGACAAGTGTTTTGTGTCTTCGGGGAAGGTTTTGGAACCTTCTCAGAAAGCCAGGAGATTTCCGAGCCTTCTGAGAAGGCGCGCCCCCTCTCACTTCCCCCCTTGGCTCGCCGCCGTCCTTTCCCGGCGTGCATCCCGGCGCGGTCCATCTTCCCCCGCGGCGAGGTGCAGCGAACGCCAGAGCCGCGATGAGCTCGCCGAGGAGCTACGCCAGGCTGCCAGGGGGGCGCCCCACCTGCCCCGTCGTCGCCGTCGCCGCCGCCGTCCTCCTCTTCCTCCTCCGCCTCCTCCGCCTCCTCCTCCTCCTCCTCCCCCTCCTCCTCCTCCTCCTCCTCCTCCTCCTCCTCCTCCTCCTCCTCCTCCTCCTCCTCCTCCTCCTGTGAGGGCGGTAGCGAGGCGCATGGGGTGCGACCCCCCCCGTCTGTGCTCCATGCCACTGCGCAGGGAGCCCAAAAGAGCCAGCGGTTGTCTGTTATCGACCGTGCGAATCATCTTCCTAAGCGCCTTTTGATGTTTTCCGTAAGGGCTTCGCCCCCTGCCGCCGATTTCTTCTTATCATAACGGAAGAGTGAAGATCATCATCAGCATGTCTCGGTGCCGTCTTGAAGACATGTTGCTACTGACGACAATTGTGATGATCATGGAGATCTTGCTCATGGAGGCTCGTGCTGGTGCTGCGGGCGCTGGTGTTGAGATGTTGATGATTATGTTGGTGGCGATGAAGAGGAGAATTAGGGACGCGACTACGGCGTCATTTGCGAGGAATCGTGGCTTCGAGGACGCACATCTGGACTAAGTTGCAATGGATCTTCGGGGACGCGAACAACAATTACTTTGCGAGGGCTCGCCGCCTCGAGGACGCGACTACTGCGACATTTACAGAGGCCTCAGGCGCACAATTTATTGGGCAATTTGCATGGGAGCATTATTGCCTCGGCGACGTGAGCATCGCGTAATTTACGGAGGCGTGTGGCTTCGGGGGCGCAGCTAATCAATGATTTACGAGGGTGTATGGCTTCGGGGACGTGAGTATCGATGTAACTTACAGGTGGGTGGCCTTGGGCTTCCAAATATCAAATCATTTCCGGGTGATCGTGGCCTCGTGGACGCATACGCATCAAAATGTACAAGGGATTACTTTTCGGGGACGCGAACACAGCGTACATTACGAAGGGTTATGACCTCGGGGAGCGAGTCTATGGATTTTACAACATGTGTATAGCTTAGGATGTACGTACAACTATTGTTTCATTTACGAAGTACTGTGGCTTCGGGACGCAGAGATTGCTTCAACGAAAAAGGATTATCGGTTCGGGGATGCGAATACGGCTTAAGTTACAAAAGGTTCATGGCCTCGGGGACGCACATGTAGCGTAATTACCATGGATTACGGCCTCGGGGGGCGCGAGTACAGTGTAATCTGCAAAGGGTCATGGTTTCGGGCACGCGACTATAATGTAATTTACAAGGGTTAGTTGTTTCGGGGGCGCGAATCTCATTCATTGTATGTGTCCCGCGACACCCCCCCCAGAATTCTGAGACCACCCCAAGACGAAGGTCACCAGACGCTTTTCGGTTCCCCCCCTCGCGCGGACAGTAACGATGTACACTAAGAAGTAGGAAGGAGAGCTATAACGTTGGAGACTGGAAGCAGGAACTGGTGAAAGGAGCCACAAGCCCAAGACCCGCAGCCTGGTGGCCCCAAAGGCGCCGGCGGACCTCCTCCCTGTTACGAAGATGATGTTTTGATGTGTTGATGTTGTCGCCATGTCTGTGTTGGCGACCAGGGGAAAGGGCCACGCGTTGTTGTTTCATGCTTGACCTTGTCGGACCGGAGTAGCCACATTGCCGGTGTTTCACGCTCGGGCGCATGCGCCCGCTTGCATTTTTGTTCAGTGTTTTTGTTGCGTGTGTCTTTTTCATGGGTGATCGATGTGAACGCATCGACTCGTTACTGGCCCGATTCGAAAGGGCCAGAATCGAAGCGGATTCCGCTCGATTCAACATCCCGAGTCTTCATATATTGACGGTTATGTTGTTTTGAGTTCTGGAGGGAGGCTTCTTCCCGAGCGTCACAGTTACAACCCCCCAGCCACCAGATGCCCCAAACCCTGGAACATCACGACCAACTGTTGGAGCGAGTGCGCAGCCACTTTCACTTAGCCGAGCGCGTTTTGGGAACCATTGGCGAGGTCTTCAGTGGTCGAGCTGCCGGTACGTTCCACGCTGATGTAAGTAACACGCCAGCGGCCACGCCTGGCAATTTCTGCGGCGACCACGAGCCAAATGAATCCACGACGCTTCTCGGCCTCACCCTCTGGGTCAATTCTCCTCCCCTCCCCCTTCCCTTTCCCCCTCGCTCCCTTGTACTGGCCCTCCCGCCCTCGGATGGCCTCAGACTCTGGTGGCCTTCGGTTGCCTCGGAGTCCATGCTTTGGCTGTGATGTCGATGCGCGGGCCATTGGAGCAGAGAGTACTCCCATAGATTCGACTCGACACGTGGTCATCCATTCGCCTTGTTCTGCCCCTGACAGTGCAGAACCCGCTTAAACCAGGTCCTCGGGCGTCTCCCAGCCACCATAATGTCTGACACATCTTGCGAGCCGCGTGCATCCCGACCCCTCATTCTCCCTCCTTCCTCCTCCCTCTCCCTTCCTCCCTTCCTCCCTCCCTCCTCCGTCGCCACCCCCTCCTTCTTCCAACCAGGCGCGCGAACAGTATCACCCTGATCGGCCGTTCTTGGGGCTGTCCGTGAGCGAGGTTGGCAACCAGCAATTCCAGCATTCACCAGAGGACGCCGCTGTTCTGCTCCAGCTACTCCCATCCCGAGGAGGAGGACGAGGAGGAAGAGGAAAGACGACGTTGTATGCCAAAACGTTGCTGGCGATTCATAGTGCTGGGGCGATGGGTAAGGAATGTGCCCAGGAGGTTTCAGACCCTGGGGTATGCCTTCTCTGATGAGGGTGGCAGTGCTATCCGTGGGCAATCCACGATGGCAGTTCCACGGAACTCATGATTTCTTTACTTCGAAACAGTCGAAGGGGAAGCATCGTACATGATGGCATGGCGGAGGGGGTCATTTTTTAGGCATGAGCGCGTTGGGCGTCGATATTCACTGCGGGACCGTATGCTCTGATTTAGTGGAGTTATCGCATCGACAAGTTTGTATGGTTCTGAATCGTGGACCCTCACCGTAGAACTTGGGAGCAACATATGTCTGACCCAAAGACACATGTTGATGATGATTGTCGGTATGACGCGCCGCAAAGCATTGCAGCCAGATGGTGAGGAGTTGGAATGATATAATTCGCAAACGATTGAAAGCGAGGACGACGCGGACAGCAATGTAGACGAGGAAGAAAACTCTAGCCGGCCACTCAATCCATATCAGTTGGAACCTGATTGGAGCGCAGTTCCTCATTGCTTGGGCCATAACGTGCGTTATAGCCCCCCCGCCCCCCCCATAACGTAACGCTCCAGCCCCCAGTGCGCCCCCGGCACTGCTGCCGTGCGCATAGGGATCCGCATAGGAACCCGAGTAAGCATAGGTATCCACACAGAAATCCGCACAGGGATTCGCATGGGGATCGCAAAGAGATATCCATAGGGGTCCTTAAGAGATCCGCATAGGGAGCTGCATAGGGATCCGCATAGGGATCCGCGTGGGGATCCGCATTGGGATCCCCAGAGGCATCTGCATGGCAATTTGCATAGGCAACCGCTTGGAGATCCGCATAGGGATCCGCGTAGGCAGCCGCATAAGGGATCCGCATAGGGATGCACGTAGAGATCCCCAGAGGGGTCCTCATAGGGATCCGCAAAGGAATCCGCATAGGGGCGGTGGTCGCGGGTAAGTTGCGGTGCTCTCAGGCACTTGTGGTGCAATAGGAGGAGAAGGACGACGACGACAACGACGACGCCCAGGATGGATGAGGGAGGTAAGAATTATACCTTTTATACGCCGCGTGAAGCCAACGACGCCTTCGCAGGCATGTGCTCGCCACAACTCCTCGTCGCTCTTCGTTGTCGGTCGTCGTCGTCGTCGTCGTCGTTTACGTCGTCGTCGCTCTTCGTTTTCGATCGTCGTCGTCATCGTCGTCGCTTGTCTCGTCGTCGTCGTCATCTTCGTAGTCGTCGTTGTCGTCGGTCGTCATTGCTCGCGGTCGCTCGTCGTTGCCAAACGCCTTCGAATACTTTCGAGGGCCTCTGGGGCCGCTCGGATGACCTCCAGAATGGCCGCTGGAGGCTTCCAACGGCGTCAGGAGGTCTCCGGAGGCCTCGGGAAACCTCCAGAGACCTCCAGAGGTGTCGCTCGTTGTTGTCGCCGTCGTCGTCGTCGTCGCTCGGGGTCGTCGTCGTCGTCGTTGTCGTCGTCGTTGCTTGTCGTCGTCGCCGTCGTTGCTCGTCGCCGTCGTCGTAGCTGTCATCGTCGTCGTCGTCGCTCGTCGTCGTCGTCATCGTCGTCGTCGTCGTGGTCGCTGTCGTCGTCGTCGTCGTCGTTGCGTCGTCGTCGTCGTCGTCGCTTGTCGTCGTCGTGCGCGTGGACGCTGTGGTGGCGCCGGAGTCGCACGGCGGGGGGGAGCGTTACGTTATGCCTCCATGCCGCCAATAACGCTCGTTATCGCCGCGAATAAAATCATAGACGCGCTCTTGGTAGATTTCATTAAACGGGACACGCGGGAGGCGGACGAGTTCATCAAGTTGCCCAACATCGATGATTGGATCACAGAGCATAAAAGGAAGAAATTGTTTTTTTTGCGCGGATCTCAAAGACGCCGACGGAGGAATGGGCGTGGCAAGTTTTCTCATGGGGCCCATGCCAGCAGCATTCAGAACTCAACGCGACAAGGCGTCCGCACACATCGAAGCGATGCTTACTTGATGTCAAACAGATGTCAGATCACCGAGAAGCAAGCAATCCGGAAAACATGGCACAATTATCCTATGCGTGTGGGACGCGCGATTCCGTGCATGCATTGACGGAATGTGCCGCCCAGAATGCCTGGGGCAATATTGAAGGCATGTTTTATGTATCAGATTTATTGTTTGTGGGTAGCTTCGGCCCCAACTCGCGGAACCTACAGTGTGAGCAAGGCGGGTCGCATTCACCATCGCAATCAATCGCAATCAATCGCAATCCAGACCCTTATCCAATTGCTCCTAATTCAATGCCCGCGGCATATCGCCACACGTTGCTAAAACCTTGCTTTCAACACTCAGGGACGGGCCCATCACGGAGAGCCGGCGCCTCACGTCCTCGCTTCGGGCCGGGCCATTCTTCGTGGTCCCATGAGGGTGTTGTGAGGCTCTCTCTCAGGAGGGGGAACACACAGACACAAAGAAGCGTCGGTTCTGAGGACAATATGGAATACGTGCGAAGTGGACGGAAGACGAAAGTCTTGAAAATATGCAGAAGTCGGGGAATCGTTGGATTTGTGTATATGTTTTGTGTTTCCTTTGACCCGTTCATTATTTTATGCCCTTTGAGGGCTTTGGAAGGGCATGTATGGGGTCTGTTAAGTGTCTTGGCATGCTGGGGGCCGTATTGGGGCCGTCCGGTCGGGCTTTGGGCAGTCGTGTGGCCGTCTTGGGGCCCCCATTGGGGCTTCGTGGGGTTTTCGTAGATCCTTCTAGGGCCATCTGTTGGCTGTCCGAAGCCTTTCTCAGTCCATCTGGATCCGAACCACGTCTGAAACGAATATTTCTTTCTAAGTGTTGTTCGGCAGATCCCGACGCTTGCTGGGGGGCTTCTTGGGCACCTCTCGAGTCTGCAGGCTTCGTGGGATCTCTTGGGAGCGGTCAGGCCCCTCTTGTGCTGGTCTTGGGGCGGTTTGCAGCCGTCTTGGAGCCGTCTTGGACTAGAGAAGAAAAGCGCTGGGGAGCAACATTAGGAGGCGGTTGTTTCGAGGGTCGCGCTGGTGTGAGGGGCCTGGACGCCACATCGTGCCTCCCCCCTACTTGGACGCCACATCGTGACCTTGCTTCCAAGCCATAGAATCCTCTCGTTCAAGGGGAGGACGGGGATTACCTCTGCGAGTGCCACCTGGGGGGAGGACACAGGAGGATCAGGAGTGGCAGCGGCGGCGGCCGCTTTCCGTGTAGTCATACCATGTAGGGGGGCGATTCCTCGCGGCACCTGCATGCCTCAAGCCACCGGATGCTGTTAGGGTGGGCCTCATTCTCCCAATCCCTCCCCGTCTTCTGACTCCTTCTCATCCTTTTCCTCCTCCTCCTCCTCCTCTTCACCTGCCAGCGCAGGCATCAAATCCCAGCTTGGACGCATCATGGATGGGAGGCATCCCCATTGCAGAGCGTCCACTCGCGACCTGACCCTCAGCTTCCCAGGTCCTGTGTCCAGCCAGGACAGGGAGACGCTGAGCCAGGTATTTTTGTCTCCGCCCCCATCGGGCGGAAGGTCCTCAGTGGCCCCCAGCTGACACGCCACGGCAGGTTTCGCTTCGAGGGAGACTGTGCTTCAGGCATTCGGTTTCTTCGAGGGCGATCTGCCCGGCGTCCAGGCCATGGGACAGCGAGCCCGTCGCGACAGGTCGGGGGAATACTCCGATGCAGAGTCCGACGGAGGCGAGCTCTTCGGATGTCACCTGCGTTGAACGCGATCCACAACCATCTCCTTTTCCCGAAGGCAGCGGGACACGAAAGTCGCAACGAGGCACTGAATTAAATATTGGATGTGAAGGAAGATGATGGAGAAGAGGAGGACGAGGAGGAGGAGAGGTAGGAGGAGAAATACGGGTACTGCGAGAGCTGGTTAGGTGCCGCGCACGCCTGACACCCTCCCCATCATTGCGAGAGTTGGTAAGGTGCCGCGCACACCCAGGTGATGGGTACCGCCTTCCTTGTTTCTTGTCCCATTCGCCAATGTTGACCGTGCCACCCGCCTCCATGCTATTACAAGAGTTGGTTAGGTATCGTGCACACCGTGCCGTTTTCCCCATCACGGAAGAACAGCAAGTAAAGGGTGAAGCATCAGCTGACACCGCAGTGAATGGCGGCGCACCCGCGGCAATCTGAACACTTCCCGCGGGTCGTTTCAAATTCCCCATGTTGTCCTTCCTTTGCGTGCCCCACATCCCACTCGAAACCCACATACGGGCGCGACGCCGCAAACGGACGCGTCACTTGGCCAGGAGGAGGGGGAAATGGGGAGGACAATATGTTTTACATGCATGTCTATATATAACTATACGACCACCCTTCGGGTGATAAGGAGGTTCGGGGGGGGGGGGGGGGGGAACCAACGTCTCACTCGATCGGTCTCACTATCGATCTCAGTATCGATCTCACTATCGGTCTCGCTCGATCGATCTCACTCGATCGATCTCACAATCGATCTCATCGATCTCATCTCATTCGAATTGATCTCACAATCGATCTCACAATCGATCTCACAATCGAACAATCGATCTCACATTCGGTCTCAATATCGATCTCACTATCGATATCACAATCGCTCTCACAATCAACGTCATCATCATCATCATCATCATCATCATCATCATCATCATCAAATCATCATCATCATCATCATCATCATCATCAACATCAACATCAACATCAACATCAACATCAACATCATCCCAACATCGTCATCATCATGAGAGAAAGAGCGTGTTCTACCGCTGCTGGCGGAAAACCGGGGGGGGTCACTACCGGTTCGAACCCCTCCCCCCCCCCCTCCGGAAAACCGGGGGGGGTCACTACCGGTTCGAACCCCTCCCCCCCCCCCCCAGCTCATCATGAAAAGGGGGGGGGTCACTACCGGTTCGAACCCC